TGTTTTTAGCTTCCAATCTCCAAAAATACTTTTGACCCTATAATAAAAAGTAAATATATCAATGTATAAATGCAACCAAACTTCCCCATTACAGCCTAACTTTTGTTTCTTTTCTTCTTGTTTTAGGTGACCCGATAGTCATGCGTTTCCAGGAGAACCGTATTTGGAACCARACATTTCTTTGACGAACATTGTGGATGTTTTGGATACAATATGACTTGAGAAGAGGTGGAGAAAAAGAAGGGGGAAAAAGGACCAAGAAGGACTTTAGTTATGGAGTCTTCAATGAGCTAAAGAAGGGAAAAAGTACCAGGAAGCATCTTCTGACACTACATTGCCAAAAAAAAAAAAAACCTGATTTTTGATTTAACATCAACAGTAGCTGTCTTTGAGCTCTGCCACGCACCAAAACTCTTTGTATAATAGTTCTATTCTTATGGACAGCTTATGGACCAGAATACTCAACCATGGTTATATTTATTGACTTTAAACCTGCAGAGATGGAAGAGAAAATATTCACTCTACAAAAAAGACCATGTGATGTGAAACTTCTGTGTCATACTCTTACTACAAGGAGCCAAGGGACTCTTGATGCAGGTCCGTGTGGAAGATCTCGTGAGATTATAAGCATTTTCATTTCTTTAAGCCTTACGAAGCAGAYATCTTTAACGTTTCTTTTTTTTAATTCAAATCAGTCTGGCTTTTCTTCTTTTTATGTTTATTATGATGCTAAGTCATTTATTTTCAAGAACAACAAACACTTTCCAAATAATAAATCCCTGAAAAAAGGGTTAAAATATGTGACTAAAAGTCACCATCGGTCAACATAGATGAGTTTTGCCAAAATGGTTTAAATGGTATCTGTTGTTTTCAAAGCCTGGTGATTATTCATTCCAAATGTCAATATTATATCAATAAATCTATATAAATGAATATTGTTCAGAAAAAATTGAGCTTTTATTTTTCCTCTGTTCTYCTGCTGTAGAGTCAACTCATCAAAGGAGGATAAGGAAAAACTCAGATAATAGCTGATCTCATGGTGAAGCTGAAAATGGAATTGGAATCAAAGAATAAAAGAACAAAATCTCACATCAATTTGACTCAAATGAGCAAACTTGACATCGCCCTCTACACAAAACCTGGGTCAACAARGCAGGAACTGAACGAGCAGCTCCTAAAATAAAAATATTCCATTGGATTAATTTTACATGATAGTTGAGGGAGTTATCCAAGTGTGTTTGTCTTTGCCATTTTCTTTTCCTTTTTGAAATTTTAAATGATTTCCTATAAGGTATTGTGACATTGCGAGACTAAAAGAAATAAACCTTGTGACGGAGGCGGGCTGGGCAGTGTGATAGGAGAGTAGAAGATAATGGATGAATGGAAAAGGATTATTAAGCCCCGGTGGCCTTGCCAGCCGTCCGAATCACTCGGATCCAAGGGCAAAGAAAATGTCCGTCCATTTTTAAACATATAATGTGGTTACTATTATTACTGATAGCAACGTGAAGCTCTATTTCCTTCTCTGTGGAAGCCAAACAGGTTAGAAGGCAGGAAGCAGAGGGGGGATTTATTTATACTTTACATTCAGCTCAGGGATAGAAAATCATAGCTTATAAGGTGTGGGCCCCTTCTTCAATATGTAAATGAAATACATTTCTGGAATATAAATTCCCWCCGTCGCTGTCAGGACTACAAGACAACGGTCATCAAATCATCCTTCATGCAAAAAAATAATCAAAAAAGTTTTCAAAATGTGTTTTTAAAACAAAAAAGTTAAACTTGTGTAAACAGTTCTTTAGTCATTTGTAAAAGCCTGTGAACTCTAAATACATTAAGTTTTATATTTTGTATGTCGATTTCCACCTGTAATTGAAACAGAACGTTCACCAGAAGGTTTCTTATACTAAACACAATTAATTAGGGGAAAATGTAGAAGGCTTGCTCCCAAAGATCAAACCCGTGGGAGTGAGGAGGAGAGGAAAGAGGAGGGCTGCGATGGTTAGCGATCCRACTTGCGTCTTGTTTGGTTAGAAATCATTAAATTACAGTAATGACTAATTTCTCATTCCTGCTCGCAATTCACCGGAGACCACCAYGGATTTAATAAAGAGCTGGCGATGAATTACAAACAGTGAACGGCTGAGCGAAAGCTACGTGATTATGCAGAGTAATTCAAAGGTGCATTAATAAAACAATACAGAAACATTGCTAAATCATTTGAGATAAAGGCTATTTGCATAATTCATTAAGATTAATCAGACCAGGCAATCTACCACAGAGCTCTGAGGAGCAGGGAGAGAAGACATGAGTCCCGTCCCCTGGAAAAACCCTCTCTGTCTACAAACAATGATACAAATCTACCCTTGGATCAGAGAATTAACCTCTGTGCACTTTACAGCCCCTGCAGTGTTGAAACACAATCCTTTAGTCATCCACCTTTATGTGGGCTAATATTCTATTAATAATGAAGGATCTTTTCATACCATAGCTCCTCTGGGTTTTGTTGCTCTGTCATAAAAGACCTTCACAAAATTGTAATGGATACTGCATACTGTGTGTTTAAAAATATCAAAGTGTGGGTCTGATGTTTGACACTGTCCGCTGCGTTTGAGCAGKAAACTGAGTTGTGAGTTGGTCACTAACAAAAACCACCAAATAACCTCACAACACAAACGTGTCCGCTGCAGTCAAAGTGAATACACGATTTAACATTTCAGATTATTGAAGAACTTGTAATATACCTCATTTGTCAATTAAATATTTAGTGAAATCAATGAGTCATTAGTGATAAGGCAGTGTTGTTTTTGTYGTGTTGAGGAAAACACTGAACTTGCAAGGAAATGTAGATCTCTGCTCATTTGTGAAAAATGTGKGACACAAAAAGCACAAATCTAAACGTCCCTCGTTCGGGATTCGATCATGTTTACGCTGGCTGTCGAAGTCAGTGCTCACCTTAATTATATGACTAATAGTTGCTCACAACAGCATGAAGGTTATTAAAAGACAAATGTATAAAAAAAGGTTTACATGTAATGTTTTTGACACAGTCAAGACAGAGCAAAAATAACATTTTCTAAATTACTAAATACTTTTAGGTTGGTGGCATTGAACAATTCACTGATAAATTATTCGGTCGAAAAGATTCAAGCGTTACTTGAATAGAAACATGAAGCTGCACCTGAACGGGGCAGAATCTGATCGCACCATCACATCACACCATAAAAAAGGTGAAGAAATAAATGTGTCAACATATTTTACATTCTGCCAATCAAAAACGGCTGCAATTAACTGCCGTGACCCAGTGAGAACAAAATGTCAAAAGGTGTTGTTGGATTTTTATACAAAGGAACATGATTCACCTCCTTCCCAGGAGCTCTTGCACACATTTTTATTTTCTGCCATCTGTGCCTTAKATTTCACACTAATGGTGTCCGTCATTGTGTTTCGTTTAGAGAAAATATTGACTCGCTCAACTGAAACCCAACTGTAATTTTTCTGAAAAAGTTCTGACAGATTTTGATTTTGGATTTTAGTTTTGTGGTTTCCAACAAGCAAAAAAAAAAA